CGGGAAGGGTGCGGGACGGCGGGCAGGGTGCGGGACTGCCTGCGGCCGGCTGCAGGGACACGAATAGCAGGGAGCAGGGCTACAGAAAGCAACTTTGTTCGGCGCTGGGCAGCCTGCCGGGTGTCAGCACACGGGAGCTCGGCCCTGCGAGGCCGGAGGGAGAAGGAAAGGAAAAAGCATCTTTCTCTCTCTCTCACCGTCCCTGGAGCACAGAGGGAGGGAGAGGAAGGTTTGGATAAAGATCCCATTATTGACTGTCCCATCTCTAAAGCTCCTTTTAAACCAGAGACGTCCCAGGTACAGTCTGAGCTGAGGGTGTACCCACCCCTTCCGGCACGCAGCCGCCCCAGAGTGGGAAGGCACTGGGAGCAGCTCAGGCAGGGGCACTTTGGGCATTGCAGCTTGCCAGCTGCAACCTGGATAAGGGGCTTTGCAGCCACCTGCATCAGCCAGGGCTTGGGCTAGGGGCTCACCACAACCAGGTGCCCACCACCCCTGCAAACTGCCCTCGTGTGCTTCTGTGGGTCTCACTCACAGACCAGTGCTACCCTTTGAGGGTTGCATGTGCCACCCCAAAGCCAATGTGGTCCTGCCATCTCCCAGTATCCCGTGGGAGGTGGGAGAGCTCCCCTTCCACACCAGCCCAGCGGCCCAGGCAGCCACACACCATCCTCCTTCCTCCTCAGCTTCTGCTCTGCATCTTCACCTTTGCCATGGTCCTGGTTCCTGAAGCGAAGGACCAAAGCAAGGCGGTGAAGGGGAGGAGAAGGGGCCTGGCACGGCCCCCCACGGCGGCCCCTGCCCTGGCCTGGGCCCTGGATGACCCCTACACCCCCATGGCAGACTATGAGCGCAGCATCCAGGACATGGTGCGCCAGCTGAAGAACAGCTCCGAGCCCGGAGACACCAAGTGCCAGGTCAACCTGAGGCTCTGGAGGTCCAACCGGAGGAGCCTGTCCCCCTGGGCATACAGGTGAGCTTGGGACAGGGACCTTGGGGACACGTGCTGGCTCCATGTTGGCCACAGCTCCAGCATCACGGGGCTGCTGGGGGGTGCAGTGCAGTGCAGCACCCCGTTTCACCCCATGAAGGCATTGCCCTGCCAAAACACCCACCAACCTCCCATCTTACCGTCCTCGTTTTGCTTTCCATCTCCTCCAGCATAAACCATGATGCCACGCGGATCCCGGCAGACATTCCCGAGGCCCGATGCCTCTGCACTGGCTGCATCAACCCCTTCACGATGCAGGAGGACCGTACCATGGCCAGCATTCCCATCTACAGCCGGCTGCCCGTCCGCCGGCTGCTCTGCCAGGTGCCGGGTGAGGTGGGGCACAAGCCCTCTGGGAAGAAGTGTCACAAGAAGTACCAGACGGTCATGGAGACCATCGCTGTGGGCTGCACCTGCATCTTCTGAGGCCGCAGGGCTAACTCCTGCAGCCACGCGCGGGCATCTAGCCAGCTTGCTCTTGCTTCCTGAGCTTGCCCAGCCCTTTGGGAGAGGGTCACCTGCCCGAGCATCAGGGTGAGTAGAGCCCCTGTGCAAGGCAATAAATTCCCCTGCAGACTGCACCAGCCTCAGCCCCAGCAGCCAGCGGGGCAAGCGGGCGGTGGTTTGGGTGGCTTCCGAGGTCTTCAATAAAGCGCGTTGCTGGCCCCCGCCTGAGCCACTGCTGCCTCGGTCTGTCGTACTGCCCTTCCAGCCCTGCCCGCCCGGGGGTGGGGTGCTGCCCAGCCCTCTCCCAGTGAGGCCCCTCTGCCCCCCCAAAACACAGATGAGCCCCAGGTTTGAGGAAGCCCAGACATCCCCCTGGAAACAGGGAGCACCAGGTGGGCACCTCTCCCTGCAAGGCAGAAGAGGAGCCAGGCAGCTTGCCAGGGGCAGGACCCTATTCCAGCCCAGGGCCAGCACCCTGCTGCTGCTGACACCAGCCAGCCTCGTCCTTGAAAGGTCCCCGAGGTCCCTCCAAAAAACAGATGTGCAGCAACCACCCCAGAAAAAGGCACAGGCTCCTTCCAGTCAAGCCTGGGGAGGGGAACAGGGAAACTGAGGCACAGACACACAGCAACACTGGGCAGGGACTGTATTCCTGAAGGCAAATCAGGTTCAAGTTACGTGGGACACAGCCTGTCCCTTTCTGGCCCCAGCCCCCCCACTGTCCCCAAGGCAATAAATACTCCCCAGGCTACTACACGCAGGAAGGCACAGGCTCCTTCCAGTCAAGCCTGGGGAGGGGAACAGGGAAACTGAGGCACAGACACACAGCAACACTGGGCAGGGACTGTATTCCTGAAGGCAAATCAGGTTCAAGTTACGTGGGACACAGCCTGTCCCTTTCTGGCCCCAGCCCCCCCACTGTCCCCAAGGCAATAAATACTCCCCAGGCTACTACACGCAGGAGCTCCCAGCCCACCGCCCGGCCCAGACGTCACAGCTCCGTCTTCACCTTGTGCATCAAGTCCTTCTGGTCGATTTTCTCCAGGTCCTGATGCCAGCGGTTGTAAGCCAGCAGGGCCACGTTTTTGGCCGCCACCGCTATCATCTCCATGGAGCTGGCCACCCACTCCACGCCGCTGAGGTAGAAGAGGTTTTCGTGGAGCACGATGGGCGGGAGGGACTTGGCAGCGTCGTAGCGGGGGTACGCCTGCCACTCCGTCACCTGCACCGAGTAGTAGGACCTGAAGAGGGTCTTCAGCTGCTGCTTGTCCAGCGGCTGCTGGGAGAGGACACGCCACACCGCGGCCTCCTGGGGCTGCTTGCGACGGAAAGCCGCTGAGATGTTGACAGGACAGATGTTGTCCATGGCGTTGAAGAAGAGGTCAGGGGTGTCGGTGGTGAGGATACTGGCGAAGGGGAAGAGCTTGGGGTCGGGGAAGCCAAAGTAGGAGGAGTTGAGGTAGCCGTGTACCACGGAGGTGACGGAGGGCTGGAAAGCTCCGGGGAAGTTGGCGATGGGCGGCTCAAAGTTCTTGAAAGTGAAGTTGCTCCTGCTGGGGTGCAGGGGAGTCGTCACCACCACCATGTCGTAGAAAGCCGAGCCCTGGCCTTCGCTGCCCTCATAGTGCACCTCGTACAGGGCTCTCCCGTCTAAAAAGAGATGCTGGACAGTTAGGAGTAGCCCTGAGCCACAAGCAGTATTGCCCTGACCCCATTTTCCAGCACGGCCTCCGTCCCCTGGTTTTCCAGTACACACCAGTGCTGGACCATAGCATTTAATGGTTATGGATGAGCTGCTGCTGCTTTAGGGCACCGGAAAGAGCATTTTATCAAGCGTGTGGGATGAAGTTTCCAGAGAAGCCCAGACCAGTGGTGCAAGGAGGACTGGGGCAGCAGAGCCCACCCACCAAACCCCAGCTATCCAGCTCTTGGGCAGTGCTGTGCTGGGGAGTAAGCCCACAATCGGATGGTGACACAGAAGAGACCTGAGGGACATCGGAAAGGAGGGAGGGGAACCCCTGGAGCAAGGTCTGTACTGAAGGGCCCTCACCAGGTCACATGAGGGGAGGAGATGGACAGACCCCCAGGTCCTTGCCCAAATGCTTCACCAGGACCAAGACGCTCTCCAGTCTCCCAAGGTTCCCCCAGCGTTCCCATGCCGTCAGCACCCAGAGCAGACCCCATGCCCAGGCTCACCCGAGGTGTGCAGAGAGACGCCCGTCACCCTGGCCGGGATGACGTTGGCCTTGGTCAGCTTCAGCAGACCCGAACACACCAGCTTGTTGCCTCCTTCCACTGCCCAGGTGCTGCCCTGGGCCCCTGCCAGCGACATGGCTCCTGGGGAGAGGGAGAGGGTGGCTCAACAGCCTGCCCAGGGAGGGGACTCCGGGAAGAAGAGGGGGTCCCTGGTTTCACCTGCAAAGGCGGGCACCAGCACTGACTGCCCGTAGCTGGAGCGCAGGACAGCCGCGATGACGTCGTCCACGAAGCGCTGCGTGACGCCCACCTCCAGCAAGGACTCGGCCACCGAGCGCTGCGTCATGTTGACGAAGGCGTCACCCCCCAGCGAGCGCAGCAGCTCCTCCAGGCTGGAGAAGGCATAGCCATACGCCTGGTACTTGTAGATCCTGGAGGGCAGGGGTGGAGGGTGCCTGGTGATGCCCCGGTGCCGGGGAAGATGCCCAGCGTCCCTCCAGCCCTGCAGGCTCTCCTACCTCATGAACTTCTCCATCACCTCCTCCACCCACATCTGCAGGCGCAGGAAGCTGATGCCATAGTGCCACCAGAGCCGGAAGAGGTTGAGCAGGTACCAGTCGGTCTCCTCCAGGACGAAGTGCTCCCCGCTGAATATGGCGCTCTTCCCTGCCACCTCACGCCGGTGCTTGAGGCCTGCAGGGAGCAGAGGGGCTTTCCCTGGGAAAGGCCAGTGCCAAACACCACCGCAGCAGGGATGTGGGCAAAGATGCTCATGGAGGAGCATCAGGGATAGTGAGACCCCGGGGCGCCGGGACCCCAGCCAGAGCCTGCGTGTTGGGGCACGCTGCTGGCTGAGACAAACGGGTCGGCTTGTGTGAACGCTCTCCCACGCGCTAATTGAATCAGGATCCCTCACCCCGCTGCTCCGCTGGGCCACCCCGTCCCTCGCTCTTCTAGGGGACAGCAAGGCTGGGGTGCAGGGACAGCCAAGGGGTCACTGCATGCCCAGGGTGCCGAGGGGGCCCGGAAGCAGC